ATAAAGTTAACATTGTGAAAGTATTTTACGAGACGAGTCTTATTACAAGACCCCACATGACTATCTTTTATTTTACGTATAAATTATAATATGTGGTCAAATAAGCGTGGTGAATAGTGTAAAAGTGTAGTTGTTGCAATATTACTAGAATGAAGTACCTAAGTAGATCATATCTTGTCTTTCTATTTGGGTTTAGATTCATTAAATATCTTTAAATTCTTTATTTAAAATATTATGAATACTTTAACGTTAGAAAGTGTATATTAAAATGAATCTAAAAACATCTCATTTGATATGTTTTATAATATGGATTAGTGTAAAAATAATGTCTACCTGTTCTTTTTGGCTTAATTTCAATTCAGTTCAGTTTATTTCAGTTTCTAATTTCATTCTCTCATATACAAATTCGGCTCAATTCAGTTCAGTAAATCAGAACAGGTCCTAAGTTTGGTCAAATTTAAAAATCAGATTTGACCATGTGAGTTGAACATAGCTTAAATGTGTGACCAATTGTCTACTCCCTCTTTTTATTTTTTTTTGATAAAAAATAAGTGCTTCATTAGCACTTTTTGTACTATTCAGTTGACCTACTTTAACCAATGCATGTTTGTAATTTATATGTAAGGAAAAAAAAAACTGGTCTTGGAACTTGTTAGTTACGTCATTTGTTATTAATAATTAAAAGATATTATTCAAAAATTTGCATCAGCATATGTGCCTAAGAGAAATGAAGCACTTATTAAAAAAATGGAGGGAGTACTAAGCTTGTAAGATGCAAACCCCACTAGAGACACTTTAATTATGTTTAAGATTTCCTTATCTTCTTTCCCACTTCAAAGTGGTCTAGCCTATAATTCGTATGTGAGAGCTTCTAACTCGATAGGGGTTTTCCTTACCTATTCAATAAATGAAAAACCATGCTCATGCATCTTGGTGAAAATCCATGCTCATATCCACCAAGATCTTAAGCTAAATTTAGCTTTTGGTTAAGTCGTTCTTTTAACATAGTATCAAAAGCCTATTGACAACAAGGCCACGAATACAAATTTCATCCACCCCTCCTTATTCATATGAATATTTTATTATTTTTTTTACTAATATATAATTATATAAATTCAGGGGCGTGGAAAAATTTTCGGGGTCCTGTGCAATTTTATAATTAGGCTCTTTTTCTATAATAAATAAACAAATAAATAAAATTTGCTTCAATATACATAGTATGTACTTTGAAAATTAAAATTGTATACTGATCTACTATTTTTTTTTTCAATATTCATACATAAATTGATTCTTTTGATAACATATTAACAAACAACAAGTTAAATTATAATTTATAAACCTATATATTTACCTGAAATGCATAATCACAAAGTCAAGAAGATATTTGTCCTCCAAAAAAAAAAAATGTTATTATTTAATAATGTTAATTATTATGGTTAGATGCAATATCCTTTTTTTTTTTTCTTTCACAGAGCCTAGATTTTACAGACCTACGAAATTTAAATACTCCCTTTGTCCCATAATATAGAACCTATTTGTGTTTTTTACGGTATTTAAGAAATAGGAAGTTAAAGTAGATGAAATATAGTAATAAAAGTGAAAAGTACAATTATAAACAAAAGTTGGAGAGAGAAAGTGGGAATAATACATTGTATATCCAAAATTCAAGGATAATTTAAGAATTACAATGAATAAAGTTAAAAAAAGTGAGGGTATAATAGTCATTACATACGATCCTAAAATAGAAATAGAAACAACATTTTGGATATCCAAAATAAAAAAATAAAAATAAAAACAGGAATTATATAATGGGACGGAGGGAGTACGACCTAGCCAAGTCATTATTTATTTAGGGCATATTCACTTCAGCTTAATTTCAGTTCAGTTCACTTCAATTCAATTCAGTTCAGTTCAGCTCTAATCACTTCAGTTCAGTCTAGCTCCTAATTTCAGTCTCCCATAAAATATTCCTTTCATTTCAGTTCATTTCAGTTCAGCTACAATCAGTTCAGGTCAATACAATATATATTAAGAAGCCCTTAGTCTAATACTCCAAATAAATCTAGACAATGGCCCCCTTACATCTCCCTTATTCATATGGAGTAATATACACTTGAATACCACTTTATTTCATTTGATTATTTTGAAGTACTTGCTCTTGTATAGCTGATTAGCCGACGCCGTGTATACGTAAGTTGATTAGCAATCCACTAATCTATTATTTACAACAAATCATTTTTGTAGGGATGTTCACATTTTGGTATGGCAAATTGAAAGATATATTCCGTTATAAAAAAAAATAGAAAAAAAATTGAAAGATATATTAATTTAAAATGCAATCATTCAACCACCTCAGTACATAATCATTAAGAACGACAACACTTTCACATGAAAATGACACCAATCAAATCAAATTAAGGAGAAGCAACACTATCACCAATTCACCATTCACCATTCGATATTTTTATTTTTATGTGATTTTTTAAAATATGTTTTCTTTTAATTTATTTGTCAAATAATGCAAGAAATAAGTAAATTATCCTGAGATTTTTGCATTGTTAAGTGGAAATTGTACGCAATGGTAAACTTGATTTAAAGAAAATTTTGGAACAATTTAATTTTGAAAATGGAGCTAGAAAAAGCTTAAATTGACGAAAGAATAACATTATTTAAAATCAAATATTATAAAAGCTATATCATTGTAAGGATGACTATCATAGAAATTTCAATGTTAAGATCGATATACAATATGCATGATGCTTACACATTTAGATTAATCTAAAGACAGATTGTCCAGTACAATGTACTAATTAAAGATTGTAAATTAACTAAGCAAAGATGACGATGATTATGAAAGTGACTTGTATCTTTAGGGACATTTTACAAATGATATAGTAATGAAATTTCATTGTGAAAAGGTTGTGGCAGTGAAATAATCCTTATTCCTATATGATTTTTACATAATTCTATATATAAGTGGGTGTCAAGTACTCTCTCCATTGCTAGAATAATTTTGTCTCACTTGATTTAGAATATCAGATTGTCTCATCTATAATCTATCTATAATATTATTAAAACAAAATGAAACAACATGCAACGCCATTTGTCCCCATTGAATCAATATGATTTGACGCCACATCATCGCTATGTGTCAAATGTGTCATCACTCTAAAAGTTTTCATATGTGTAACCTCCGTAGTTAATTTTCTCTAGAATGTAACTTCTAAGTAATTGCACAATAAATTATAATATAATTTGTAAGAAATTAATCACATACTAATGGTTGTTGATTCCTAAACTAGATGGTACCAGTGGCGGATCCACGTTGACGCCTGGGGGGCGTGCTACCCCCTCCAAAAAAAAAAAAGAAAAAAAAAAACTGTGTTTATGAAAAAAGCGCTCATTAAAATTATAGAAAGATTACAATTTGTACTTATGTTAACTATCTTCAGCATTGCTTTAGTTGTAGAGGGTTGTAAGGAGAGTCATATTTGTTTTCAAGGTCAAGGGTTCGAGACCTCTTAGCAGTTTTTTTTTTCCTTCTTTAAGCCAAATGAATTTTCACTTTCCTCTACTTTCATCAACACAAGGACAAGCTACTACTATGTTTCCAAGATATATTTTTTTTCCTTTTAATTTTTACACCTTTTATAAATAATCCTTATATTAATTTCATTATATAATATTTATTCCATTATATTTGACCATTATTATATCTTGTTTATATTAGTATGAAAATTTGATGACATTCTTCTCAATTTCATTATATAATATTTATTGCATTTATTTGGCCATTATTATATCTTGTTTATATTAGTATGAAAATTTACCCTAAAATTAATATAAAAACATACTCCATCTATGTTTAAGTAAATGAAATATTTTGACTTTTAACACAAATAATCTAATTCATTCATACTAATTTTTGTGATTTATACATTAGAATATATATAGTCATGTGGATATTTTTTGGAATCGTCTCAACGAAAAATTTATTAATATTCAATTGTTATAATTTTTATTATTAAAGATATTTTCAGTTAAAATTTACATTAGCATAGGTGCACAAGGTAAATTTATAACAAAGTTTTCTGTAAATATTCATATGCAACTTTGACTTACAAAATAAAATAATAAATAGGTGAACAATTTATCATAGTATAATCGATATTTAGAATTTAAATTGTTTGGAAAAAAAACAAAAAAAAAAACTTGTCAAGATAAATGGTTGAATTTGATTGTAATTATAATACGACTACACAACGCACGCATTTGTTTGGCTGATTATATTACGTTGCGTTACACCAATTTTATATTTTTTTAATTATCCAGTGCTACCCCTAGTTAGGATTCCTGGATCCGCCACTGGATGGTACAAGTGTTTTCTAAATTGAAAACCAGTGAAGTAATTACACAGATTAATATTTACATTTTGTTACTGCATCTCACTTTCAATTCTCAGATATTTTTTCTATTTTTTGAATTTATTTTAAATTTAAGATAATATTTTCAATATATTATTCAAAATTTAAGGTAATATTTCATTTTATATCTAAACAAAATCAGGAACATTGCTCGAGCCATGAACTAGTTTAGAATAATATCACATAATGTCATACTAATTCATCATGATGTGTGGTTCACAATATTTTTTATTTTTTTTAATTTGTGTGGTTCAAAATAACAATATATTTAACTAATAATTATATTATTATCGAATCACGTTGTTGAAAACTATAAAATTAATTACAAATAAAACAACCTTTTAGAAATGGAGGGATTATCGACCAATCAATATGAAGGAGATATTTTTGTGAGGTGGAAAACGAAATGAGGAGGGTTAGAGAAAGCCAAAGGTAACATCTAATATCTTACATGACATTAGTAAAGATAGTATGAGCCACAATCAACATAGAGCCCACGTTGTAGCTATCATAGAAATCGCATCATACATCCACTAAAAGTTATCTTACAAGTAAACAACACTTAACAAATTTCAATTATTGTAAGCATATACTTGTAGATGATCACTATGCTGAGTTGTTGATGCTTAGGAATGTTCTGGATATTCTTTACATTATTATTATTCATAACAAGATCAGATGACATTCATGAAATTTACAATAATGTCCTCATAAGTTCACAACATCTATGTGCATGCATTTACAAAACTCTAGAACATACAAACGGAGAAGAAAAGATATACACGCTACATTGTCAACTATATTTAGGTTAAGTTCCAACATCCATCGGATATGAGTAGCACTCTTACATATAACCGCGCTTCTTTAGCTGAGATCACGTACGTTTTTTAAATAAGTTTTGTTTCCACTTTAAGAGAGTGACGATTTTATATTTTAAGAGTGCTAAAATCAATTCACCCAATCTTTTGACGAAGTATTGATGGTAGTGGAATTTTTTTTAAGTATTTAAGCCCCAACAATAAGAAGGTTCTCAAGATCACTCCTAGATCGTCCAATTGCCCTTTCATCATCTTTTGTCGATGCATTGATCTGCCATATCTCTGGAATTGCTTGTGCTAAGTTATTCACTGACTCAAGAGCATAATCTGCATCTTGAGTTTTTGTTGTTCGTCCAACCTTCAAATTTTTCACCAAAAGCAAAGTATTAGTAATAATTTTCATAAGATCCTATGTGAAACTTGAGTTTTAAACATTCTTAGATTTAAAAATACTACATCCGTTACAGGTTATGTGCAACGATTAGACATTTTCATTCTTCGTTGCACATAACCTGTAACGGAGGTAGTATAATTTTACAATAGACACAACTTTAACATATACTTCGTACTAACAAACTAACATAGATTAACTTATTGCAACAAGCTAAGGATAAGTTTTCTCTACATTTAAAATTGATGATAACCTTGTGACTTGTGAGTGAAAAAATGTGGCATCTGAGGAAGGCAATTAATTTGGCATCTACAATTACTATACATGGACAACATACATAGGTTCTTTAATTCAAAACCAACTTTTTTTCAATTTTAGGTCCTTTGTGCATTTATCCATTAACAAGTTGTTAAATGTTGATAGGATAATGTAGTAACCAATTAGAACTTGACGTGTAGATTTTTACAAACCCCTGATAAAAGGTCGTGTAAGCCTAGTACAAATCACGTGATATTTTATTTATTTAGATGGGCACACGTCTTACATGAAAACGACACCGTTACAAAATTGGAGAAAAAAAACAAAAATTAACAGAATTTACAAAATCAAAATAAAATACGAGTACTACGGAATTTTTTTTTTTTTTTTAAAAAAGGAAATTTAATATAGAGCAGTATACGGGCAAATGCGTTAAAAATAGTTTTTCGGTGGAAGTGAACTTACCACTACAGTTTTGAGACCGAGAGCTTTTCCAGCGGCGACGTTTTTAACATTGTCATCCAAGAATAACTGCAAAATCAGTCAAATATTTGACACCTTAGCTTTCGATTTTGTATACAATCGTACGGAGTATTTAATTACAAATATTAAAAACAAACGTGTTATACTGTCTCACTTGTTTTGTTCTAGAATTTGCTTTTATGTGTTGTTAATATTAGTGCTTTGTCTTTATTAGATGTCTTAATTACCTTTTCTTGTTTGAATGCTAGTTGTCTCCTAAAGAATATCTACAGTATTTTTTTTAAAACAGAGGAAGCATAATTTGAGATACTTTAACTTTAATACGCCGTAATTTTTAATCTGTAACTGGCCAAATCTATGCATCTAACTATTGAAGTTATACACATGATTAATTATTTTAACTATATAATGACGTACTTAATTTAATTTGTTTGGTCAATTTTTGTTACTAAAAGAATACGAATAAAAGAGTAGCATATATTCTTATCAAAAAAAAAAAAAAAAAGAGTAGCATATATGATAGGTACGTAACACCAAATTAATTTTTAAAAAAGAGTTTTTATTCCATACATTTTTATCTCACATTAAATTAACTAATTAGTATTACTGTAACTCTGTACGGACATTTTTGTCATTTCATTATGTGTTGGTTAACATATTATTTGGTTCTTGTTCTTGAGTTGTTTTGTGATATCACCTCAATTATTAAAATTTTTTTTTAGCATATTTAATAAATTGAAAAGGATATAAGTAAAAACTTGAAACATATATGCAGAAATTATAGTATTTCTTACGGTGCGATGAGGATCAATATTAGCAGCAGAAATAGCAATTTCCATAGCATCAATCGAAGGCTTTAGAACAACAGGAATTTCATCAGGACGAGTGGCCATTGTGAGGTTTGGATTAAGTGTTTCAAAGCATATAATTTGCTCAAAACAATCCCCTATTCCAAGCCTGTTTAAAGCCTTTGTAGCATGAACTCGGTCCGAATTTGTAAAAATCTGCCCTCAAATTAAAAAAAAAAATGATCAAAGGTATTCGTTTATCACACGTACCTAACAAACAAATAAATTGAATAGTAATGTGACTATTAATTTCGGACAAACTAAAATTAGTATTTTATCGATGAAACATACTATCTTCCTTTGGGTGATGCTGAGGAGGATGTTGCGTAGGTTAGAATTTGGCTTGATCTGCGCGTATGGCAACCTCCCGTGCACGAAACTGTCAATTGTCAACCCAAATTTATTAGACGTCTTACTCTTACAATTGATATAAAAAGAATTCGGTAGACCAAGGAACTAAATAATGACTAAACAATTACGTATCTATATAACGTATACATAAAAAGTAAATAGAACTTTTAAAATAAATAATTAGATACTTCGTATATAATTACAATTACGAACCTGTGGTAATCATCAGCATCAATATCATACCCTAGGGCCTGTAAGTCCAATAATACAAATAATTATTGTTAGAATTATCAACCAGCTATACGTACTTGTCATCATTATTATCAATATTTTTCATTTTATTTAAAAAATATAATTTCTACTCCGTAGTAGTTTATTAATGGAGTATTTTGTAGCTATATTTTAATATAAAATTAAAAAAAAAATTGTGCTTGTTGCTAAGATTTAATCAATAGAATATTTTAACAAAATTATACAAAAATAAGCGGGTCTGCCTCCGTTACAGGTTATGTGCAACGATTTGACATAAAGCAAAGAAGAAAAATGTATAATCGTTGCACATAACCTGTAAAGGAAGTAGTATATTAAAAGCAAGTATGATTACATATATTTTGATGTATATATAACAACATAAAAACAAGAAAAAAGTTACTACTAGGGGAAAAAGGGAAAAATTAGAACACAAGCCAAGAAACTTCTAGGAAATGGGGGGTATAATAACATTTAAAGTTATATTTTTATTGTAATAATATAGAGTGTACTTGTCAATAATAGTTACTCCGTATTGATTATTAATTTATTATTATTACTCTTTACAATATTTGTAAGAGGGAAGGCTACAATTAAGGTTTGTAAATGAGATTTGTTTACAGATTTTAAGTATCACACGGACACTTTTCATAACTTTAGTTAATTAATAAACTAGTTAAATATCTACTCATAAATTATGTTATTGTACACAAATTATCATTTTGTTAATACAATAATTATAAAATATTAATCTTCGATTTTTGAATGTATATATTTTTCAAAAAAAAAAAAAAAAAAAAATTTAAAAGTCAACATGTTTTAATTTTCAAAAGAAGGAAGAAGAAGCAAAATTTAAAAAATACGAAGTATATTAGTCAAAACTTACCCGTAATCCAGCAAGAGTGCTACCATACGATTTGAAAAGCTCAACACGAAGAGTCGAAGCTTGATCACTTGTGAATCCACATTTCTCCATCAAAAAATCTACAAAATTTTCAATAATTTCATTATAATTATAAATTTATGATGATATTTTTAATTTTAAATATTGTCAAAATAAAAAGTTTAAGAACCTTCGATGTTTTTCTTGAGAGCCAGACCAATTCCGGTGTGAGAAGAATACAGAGTATCATCCAAGTCTGCATATTCAAATCATTTAAATAATTAAATTTCACGTCATCGTTCAATTTCTCTCTAATGTAATCTTATTTATTGTCAATGGAAATTAAATTATCCGAGCTTAAAGTAAAAGCATTAATAACACTGATCAACACATTATTTTGTGACGTACACCTAAATTACTACTAGTACTTAATTCTTATATGTTGCGAATCCGAGCTTTTAGAGACTGATTTTACCGACTACCTCAAATTCATATAACAAAATTATAATTAAAAGCTTAGAAAAATTAACTTTAATAAAATTGTATCTAAAGTGACTTATTTACCAAACATAAGGCAATCAAAGGGGGAGGAGCTAGAAGCACGAGATAAATTTCCGAAATCCATCGTATTAAAGTATAAAACAGAGGAAATAAATACAATGAAGCTAAATGTGGGAATAATTTTGAAGAAAATGAGGTTACTTTTGTGAGAAAGAAGTAGAATGAACAAGCAGAAGCTCAAAGGAAGGAAAATGCAGAGGGTATTTATAGGAAGGGGTTGAAAGAAGGAGGAGAGAGAAAATATATTTAAAAATTAATTAAAAGAATGAAAAAAGGATTAGGATGATGACGAATACACGATATTGATTGCTGACTAGACTTTCAATTTTTATTTAATTTTTTAATGTAATATGATGATAAGCAAGAAGTTTACTTATCTAAATAAACAAGTAAACAACATAAATTTTTATACTCCCTGCGTCCCCAAAACTTCGACCTTCTGATCTAATTTGAGTTCCAAAATAATTAATCCATTTATATTAAAATATCCACCAATTACAACAATATTTGTACAAAATAAATTTATCTTTTCAATATGTTTTTATTTTTTTTATTTAAGTTTTTTAATAACCGCAAAATCAACCCAAAATGGTTGAAGTTTTGGGAACAAAGGGAGTATAAGGCCGGTCACGTGACCAGTAATAATAAGATTACTTTGATAGTGTTACTACACATATGTGTTACTCGGTCTGTGTTATAAGAGTTATTCGGTTGGTGTTATAAGAGTTATTTCGTCAGTATTATAGGGACTACTTTTTTTTACTCCTTACAAGCGATTACATAGTATAACTAGCTACACAACTAACCCATTATGGTAAAAAATAAATAAATTAAAAGAAAAAGGAAGAATTAGGAGTAGTAATTATTGTAAACGACACAGTTGCAAGAAGAGATTTTTATTTGACGGGCACAATTGCACGATGAATGTTACAATAAAAATTGATGATCAGGCAACGAGTAACCTTTGGCCCCACACGTTGTTCCTTCATCTTACACGTTTTTTATGTTTCATTTTTAGTGCAAGTCTTTATGAATTGGGAAAAAAATTTAATTTAAGGAAAGATGAAAAAGTAGAGTGAGATGATTGGATAAGTATAAATTCTATTGTCCCTAAAAAAAATTTATGAATTCTTTTGTAGCAAATAAATTAATGATTAACGAAGAACAAACATAAGAAATTAAGAACATACAAATTTACGTGGATCAAGGACATTAACTGGGATTTAATACTAAAGATAAATACTCTCTCTCCAGTTCATAATATTAGTTCTATATGGTATCAATTACATAAAATAAGAATAGAAAAATATTTGGAACATATTCATCAAACATTAAACTACAATATAATTCATAACTAGATGCATGGTTTGTTTATTTTATATATATATATATATATATATATATATATATATATATATATATATATTTAGAGCATCTCCAATGGCAAGCTACAATGCTTTGTAGCTTGCTTTTCTACATGCTACACCACTTTTTAGCAACAAAGTGTTCCAATGGTAAGCTACAACATTTTTTAGTTTGTAATAAATAAATTTTAATAAATAAATAAATAATTATACACATGTTATAATATAAGTGGAATTTATTTGTCTCTTTTTCAATCAAGCGTGTAGCTTGTTTGGGCTACAATTGCTAGCATGGTGCTCAATTTTTTATTCTCCAATGGTAAGCATGTAGTGCCATGCACGATCATAGTTAAATTTTACAACAATAATATATAAATAATGGTGTAAATTCAACAATAATTTATCTATAAAAATTGTTTGTAACAAAATAACTTGAATTTTAGTTTATACCAATACCAAATACGTAAAGGTTATTAAATTAGATTGGATAAAAAATTAATATAATAATAAAAATTTAGAAGCTATAAGGTTTTATATAAGAAAATTAAAATATTAGCTTAGATTTGTGGTAAAGACTAGAATAGACCCGGTCTACAATAACTTATTGTAGACCCAACCTTTTAGTATACCATACGAATGTGATTATATTACTACAAAAGTGATTATATTATCCTGAAACTGTTATGTAAATGTATCACTCAAAAAGTAAATTTATCGTTATAAAAAGTATCAAATAGTAAATTACATCATTCAAAAGATGATTTTTAAATTTTATCATCCTAAAGATAATTATATAATCTCATTAGATGGTTTAATATGAGATTATATAATTCAAAATATGAGTCACAAAAAGATAATTATATCGTCTAAACAAGTGATTATATCATCCAGAATGTGATTATATTATTTGAAACTGTCAAATTTTGGGTCTACAATAATTTATTGTAGACTGGGTCCATACAAGACCAATTGTAGATTTGTACCCATGTACGAACTCATATACATCTATCCTCAAATTGTTAACACACTTTGACCCGAATAATATGGAAATTTAGCTGATTTCATTTTACTTTAGAATAATTAATATTCCATAATCAATTTTTTAATATATATTTTTAGTGAGTAGTAAGGGTTTTTATTTTTTAAATAATCACATAAATATTTAGAGTAATTAAATTAATTTTTCCAATATATGTTATGTATACTATAACAAAATGATTTTGTCTTATAAACTTTATGTAATTTTAAGATTATTTATACAAAGTATGCTATAAAATGATTTTTCTATTAATTAAAATAAATTTTATTGTCAGATGATGAAAGTTAGAGAAAAAAAATTTGATATTCATAATATTATACTATATAGAAAAAATTTTATATGGAAAATAATAATATATTACAATACATTTTTTTTTTTTTTTTTGAGAAAACAATACCTTATTTTTAATCTATGTTAGTATTTATGTAAGTAAAAGTTTCCTAGTATATAAAATATATGTAAAAGAAATTGAGTATAATTGGATTAAATATGTTGTTAAAATGGAAATAACTATTATTGTGGGTTATAAATAAATGTCATTAAAATATGGCAAAAAAAAAAAGAAATAAAAAAGGCGAGAAAATTTTTAACTAGGAAATGACAAGTGTCATTCCAGGTTTCGCCTTTAGTATAGGTTTATAGATAAGGGTAATGTTATATGTAGTCCTAAGGGCTCTATATAAGCATTAAATATACTCTTGAAATTGTATAAATTTAGGAATTTATGACAAAAACACGTGTAAATCAGTGTAATTTAGTGTGTATATTTTGATGATTTCTTAACTTTGTACGATTTTAATTTCAAGGGTAAATTTAATGCTTATATGTAGCCCTAAGCCCTAAGGGGAGTTTTTCCCCGAGTTTATATAGAGCCACGCAGGAATTAATTTTTTCAGCGCACCATTTAGGATAATAAATTTTAGTGGTAGCCAATTAAATAAGAGATTATTAATTTCTTTTAGAATTAAATAATTTAAATGACACGTAAGTAAAATTGGTGAATGAGATTTCCCAATTTAAATTAATTAAATATAAAATATTATCTTTTGATATTAGGAATTTTATCTAAATATATAACCAATTTTAGCACGCACGCACGCGCGCGCGCGCACACACACACACACATATATATATATATATTATTTAAAATAATTCAAACAAATCATGCATCGCACGGGATTCATCTAAGTTATATTAGTATAATCAAGGTAGATATTTTCTTACTTAGAGTCATGTCATCAATTCACAACCAATTAATTCCAAAAAAATTAAGTTAAAAATGGAACACATTCAATATGGGCTTTTTTTTTTTTTTTTGAAAAATGCCCAAAATAGTATATTGGACTAAGGACATGTTCACATTTACTTAATTAAGCTGAACTGAATTGAAATGATTGGAGCTGAACTGAACTGAGCTAAAATGAATATTTTATGAGAGAGTGAAATTAGGAGTTGAATTGAACTGAACTGATTGGAGCTAAACTAAACTGATTGGAGTTGAATTAAATTGAACTGAAATTAAGTAAATGTGAACAGACCCTAATATTATGAAATGGAGGGAGTATAAATTATAATCTTATATTCGTATTTGGTAATTACCTGGTAAATAATCGACATAAGTTATTGTATTAACTGGTTTGATTATCAATTTGTACAAATGACTAGTCGTGTAAAAGTATTTATAACTATCTATCAATTGGTAACTATTTTAGTGTATGTGTAGGCACCTATTTGTGTCTCCCCAAAACCAAACCCAATGATGAGTACCTTTCACGTCGAATCATAATCGAATGAAGCGAAAGTATGGAAGGTTTAGTGTTGCGGATAGTTTTAATTTTTTTTCTCTTCTCTCTGTTTTTGAAAACTTATTTTAAAGAAAACAGTCAATCCAGTTTGGTTGGTCCATGATATGGGTCCAATAGTAGTGTAGTTGGATGGGGCTTGACAAGAGCTTTCCAACGATATATTATAAGCCCAATTCCGATGAATATTGAGGAAGTTATGGCCAATTTACTGAACTGGGCCCGGTTTGAGCCTTATATGCGGCCCAATGATCTAGGGGAGGGCCTAATATAAATTTATCATTCCTAATGCAATTAGGAATGGTTTTAGTCTTCTAGATTCTTCTAGAAGGTTCTTTTCATTTCTAATTCAATTAGCATTGATAAATTGACTTTTTGTTGACTTTTCAGAGTTTTAATAAAAATCAAAGAGCATTTTTAAGGAAAAATACAATTTTATCCTCCTGTACGGCAATTTTTATCTAATTTTAAGAAAACGCGTTATTTTCCGAATCAGCGCCAAACGCCAGCTGTAGCGCCAAATAGCCAGCGTTGGCGCTAATCAGGTTTTATGTGCGCCAGAACTCTGTTTTGATATTTTATCTTTTTGGCTGATTTTTCTATAAATAACGTGCTAAAAACTCTATTTTCGATAACCATTTTTCATCAACAATAACCAGTTTTCATCAACAATCATCAACCAGTTTTTACCTTCAATCATCAATATTCATCTAAAATCTACCAATTTTCTCTCTCTTCTCTTTTCTAGCTTCTCTCAAATACAAAATTCCGCATTCATTAGATTTAGAAACACCTAGCCATATTCGAAGTTGCCTTCGCCCTAGACGTGAAAGGTTTAATTTATGTGGGTTTGGTCCCAAATCTCTCTTTCAATTATTTAATTTAATTGTTTTGTTTATTATTTTCCTTGAAGTTACTAACGTGTGTATTTTGTTATTAGAAAGAGGTACAAGGCATCCAAGTAAGTACTTTAATGGTTT